CAGCCTCCCGAACAACCAAATTCCCTCTCACAGAGCGTGTACGCTCCAAAACCGTGATCATGGTAAGCTAGACTCACAGTCCTCTTCATGTGCGGTTCTGACATCCCGATCAGCAGGCCATGACACCCATCACCCCGCTGGAGCCGGGCGTGGAAATGTTCGAACGAGGAAAGACACAATCGTTCTTTTCCAATGCTCTAACAGCCCGCTCATCGCTAGAGCGCCCGGTTTCTCACATCAGTGTCGCATACACCGACATCGAGGATGATTCTAGCGAATTCGAAGAGTTCAGTGGCTCATCTGTATGTATATTCTGGCCCTCCACCAAAGGCGGCACTGACTTTCCAAAGAGCGACAACAGGCGAAGTCAAACAACGATTTCTACCTTTGAGGAAGTACAGACACCTGCGGAAGAAGTACGACCACAGTTCGCCTATTGGCCAGAACGGAAGTCAGTAGAAGGCCCCAGAGGACCACACCTTTTCCGCGCCTCAGTGTCGTCCAGCGACTTTCCGTTTGACGAGGGCCAAGTAATGCAGATGTCGCCTCTCCTGCCAAAAGAAACTCCACTTCGTCTTCCAACCTCCTTCCGAGAGGCCACTCCCGAAACGATTGTCCCCCAGAGAGAGTACAACAATATCGCTCTCGCCGTTGCCCACTTGGACAACGCTGAAGTACGCGCCTGGACTTCCAAAGACGTTGCTACCTGGATGTATCAGAACGGATTTGAAGACGACGTAATTGACAAGTTCATGGAGCACGACATCTCCGGTGCGGTACTCCTGGATCTGCAGTTCGACGACCTGAAGGAGTTGGAGATTCAGTCCTTCGGCAAGAGACACCAACTGTGGAACCAGATCGATTCCCTGCGCACTGCCGACGGGCTCATGTCGCCAACTGCCCCAGCAGCCATCCCGACTCCTTTCGAAGACATTGAACGACCATGCACAGAGGCACGAAACAGGTCCAAGAGCAAGGGCCGGAAAGCTAGTCGACGCGATAAGTTGCGAGGGAACCACATGACAGACGATGTTATCACACCTGCGCATTCCGTCTCCATTGTAGCGATTGAACAGCTGCTTCCCAAGCCACACGTGTGCGCAAAGGGTGAACGATGCGCCAAATGGAGGAAGCAACAACGGCAACTTGCCAGACTTCAACAGGAACACGGCTTCCCGATCTCGCCCGAGAAAGGTGGTCATATCTTCATCGCGGGTGATCCAGGCAACCCCCAAACAGCGCAGCACGCTGTCGAGAACGTCCACCGCCCGAACTCAGAAGCTACCCCTTCTGTTGTGGTGCCGTCTGTCGTAGCATCGTCCGACGTCCTCGGGCCTGGCCAGCTACCTGATTTCAGTCTTCAAGACCTAGAGAAGTTCGAGCAACGCGACCCGCAAGACAATGTGCGACAATTTCTCACCCTACAAGGCCAGCAGCAGCCCTTTGTCAGCGCTACTCCCATCGAGGCTCCCCCAACCCCGCCTACAGAATCATACCCACCTCGTCCCTTCTTGGTGATACCACAGCAATCGCACTACCCGCAGGTTTCAGCCTTTTCTGCATCTACATCGGCGCATACAACAAAGTCTTTCGATCCATTCAGTCGCTCACCCTCAACTCCAGCTCTGCACCCGCCGGAGTTCATGCCAGCACCTCATTCGAATCTCAAGAGCCTTCCCAAATTGACGATTCCTCCCGCACGTTCAATGTCTGCCCAACCGGCTGGTAACCCACGCCAAGGAGTCCCAGTACAACAATACCTCGCACCCGACACCGCATTCTCGCCATGTAGGACAGCGTCACCAGGTGGCGTCTACCGGTTCGGCACGCCCTTCTCCGAGATGGACGTTCCTGTGACTGCTGTGCAACAGGAGCCACTTAGTCGCGACACAAGCCAGTCCGTGCCCCCGAACATGCAGTACCAGCCCCAAATCCAAAGAGTTGGATCGCGTCACGACCGAAGGCGCCCCTCGTTGCCCATGCCGGCGCTTGCTGAGGATCGCGTGTTCAGCCCAACCGCCCACTCAGACGACGACACCCTGCGCGGAACCATTTTCGACGACTCGGTCAGTACTAGCGACAGCGCTGGCTCGTCGCCGCTCAAGACTACCCAGCCATTCGCCAGCGAAGCTAGTGACACGATTGCGCCTTTGCACAAGGGAGGCTTTGTGTACAAGGGAGTAAACCACCACGGATGGATGAAGAAGCGCCGCACGAAGCTTCTGCGTCACGAATGGCAAGACCACCACTTCCGCCTCCAGGGCACACAGCTAGCTATGCATCCCAATGAGCTGCCGTCTTCATCCGCACTGCAGACGATCGACGTGGACGACTACGCAGTAGCATGCTCATCGATCGCTTCCAACAAGCTCTCTGCCAAGTTCAAGGCTCTGAAGCTCTCCTCGGGTCATCACAAGGAGAAGTCAGCTGCTTCTACTCCTGCCTTTGAGTTCCAGCTTGTGCCAGCCGCACCTGGCAAAGGCGATGTCAAGAAGGTGATGCCCAACGGCAAGGTCCAGCACTTTGCTGTGACTACCAAAGACCAGAGAATTGACTGGATGCGTGAGCTCATGTTGGCTAAGGCCTTGAAGGCTAAGAGCGACGGCTACGAAGTCAATGTCAATGGCGCCAACATGTGATGGCTACACTTACATGGCCATCACACTTTCCTTTACTAGTCTGTTTTTGTTTCTATTGTTTTTGGTCTAGCAAGCGAGCGTATGTTTTGTCTATTCTTGGTTTCTGCGCAATCTCCTCTTCCTCAGTCCGATCATGATCCGCTATTATACCCTTTCCGCTGTTCTTTTTGTTTTGCGCCATCCTGCATGCTACTGTTATTTGTGTCTTCTCCCAATCTCTTGGAGGCAGCATATATTTACTTTCACTACTGCATACATCTAAAGACTTGGAACGCTGAGCGGGGCCGCAAGGTCAGGGAACATTTGGTTATTCTTTGGTTTGAACATGGTAATGTCTTGGTCATTTTGCTCGAGCGTGGAGGTCTTGCAACAATCACTCCTTGAATTTGGGTGGTATTTTTTGCTTTGACTAAAAGCTGTCCTTATGTTGAGATGAAGTGAGATGGATGCAAATGTGGGGCGGGAAGGTGAAGGAACATCTAGGTACTATCCATGAACACGAATGAACGTCATACTACAAACTCTTCCTCCATCCACCCATCGCCGTGCTTCCACGTATAGATACCACTTCATCACCGCCCTCCGAAACATCCATGCTCGTCACTTTCTTTAAAACACTCGGTCTCCGACGTTGTTCTCGTGGGGTCGCCCCGGCGGTGTGCGTTGTTCTCTCCCGGCCGACAGCAGCCCCATCACGAAACCACGTCGGCCCCCGAATACGTCAACCACAAATATAGTCAACGTATCCACATAATACCGCTAATTAAGATCCATTACTTCTTGTTCTTATTCCAAATTCTTTCCGTTGCTAAAATCAATCTTTAAGGCCCTAAAACACACATGCCACCTGGTCCGCTCGCTTGGTTTCGCGCATGAACCTCCATCACTCGCATGTGAAACGTCACCCGATATGTGACATGCTAAGCGATAATGTGCGATACGTTCAGCTCAATCGTTCGTTGACAAAGCATGTTGTCAAATGCCTTGGACGGTTAGGTTACCGCGGGGCTGGATCGGGCTGGGAGGTGACAAATGTTTGATATTGCGATACTCATCAAATGACACATTAAAGTTTTGTGTGTGGAGTTTTGGCAATATGACGGTCCGGCGACAAGGCATTCATTGGAGTCTTGGATCTATTTGTGTGACTTCGGTGAAACGGGATGATATTTATTGGAAACGAATATGCGAAATATCGACTTGTTGAAATGTGTCCGACACCGGGGGGAATCGGAGCTGGAGCGATACACTACTTCAACCTCATCTCTACTTCCATCGCTCCTCCGAGGTTTCATTACTCTCAGCTCAGCTCGTAGGCAAAACAGACGTTCAATCCGCGTCGCACAACCTCCGACTCGCTCCCTCGCCGAGAAGTTTGATAGCACAATCCCCATCTTCTCCACCACCATCACACAAGTCCATCTCCACGACCAAGGAGCTCAATCTCAGAGCCTCCCTCTCGGTGCTCCTAGGTGAGCACAAACATGTGAATGACATCGGCTACCTGCATAGGGGCACTTTTTTCCAACTAGATGATGCACGTTACAAGGCAAGGTCGCACTGACAGCTGTCAAAATCTCTGGTGCGTCGTGACATGAGCGCGAAGTCATGGTAGTGTCGGTAGTGATGGACCATGGGCGCGGAGATTGTTGCTGTGACGGTGGTAGCTTGAGCGGCTATTTCGAGGGGAGCACGTGTGATGAGTTGGACGAGGCGATGTTGTACGAACATGCGTATGGAGTCGGAGTTCGACTACGTGACCATTGCTTGAAGCTTGGTATGGAAGACCAGATGCATAGTTTGGGGCAGTGTATATGAGCTGATAACGGACGATCAAAGCCACACCGATGTTGTTCAATAAGTGTAACATGAAAGCTTGGACAGAGGAGGGATGATCATACCAGCAAAATCGCAATGTAGTGCAAGCATGGACAAGAATATATTACTAGATACCAAGAAGGAAATCGAGCAAGCTCGTACAGTTTGACTATTACATACATATATAAGAAAAAGAATTAACCAGACGTCTGCCACCATGTATGTACAAACTCTCCATGCCACGAACGTGGTCCAAGAGGTGGGAGACCGGTCAAGCTCTGTCCGTGTACTGATGAGGTACCAGTACATGTCTCATGACTGAGACAGTGTTGTGTAGAGCTATCGGTATAATAACACAAGACTCGTCGCGTGGTTGTCCATGGTCATACTGCAAGTGTAGCTGGCGTGTGTATGACTTGCGAATGATCGAGTGTGCGTCGAGTGTTCTGAATCGAAGGTAGGAGATGGTGCAATCGAGCAGCTGATATGGCGGTTGTCGTAGTGCGATGTAAGAGTCGAAGAATCTTCTCATCGTGAAGAGGTTTACTCCTCATCGTCTTCGGCCGCGCCAACTTTGGTGTCCCAAAGGGGCCCACCCTGTGGGTTAGGAGCGGGAGCAGCTTCAGCGTTGCGCCCCCAAACTGGCCTTCTCCCTGCGTCAGGAGCGGGAGCAGCTTCAGCGTCGCGCCCCCAAACTGGCTTTCTCCCTGCGTCAGGAGCGGGAGCAGCTTCAGCATCGCGTCCCCAAACGGGCTTTGTTCCGGGCTTCACCCACTTCCCAGCTTCAGGAGCGCGTCCCCAGACGGGCTTATGCTTCTGTGGGTTAGGAGCGGGAGCAGCTTCAGCGTTGCGTCCCCAAACGGGCTTCGTTCCGGGATACACCCACTTCGGTGGGCCAGGAGCGGGTGCTGCTTCAGCGTTGCGACCCCAAACGGGCTTCGTTCCGGGATACACCCACTTCGGTGGGCCAGGAGCGGGAGCAGCTTCAGCATCGCGTCCCCAAACGGGCTTCGTTCCGGGCTTCACCCACTTCCCAGCTTCGGGAGCGCGTCCCCAGACGGGCTTATGCTTCTGTGGGCTAGGAGCGGGTGCTGCTTCAGCGTTGCGTCCCCAAACGGGCTTTCTCGTGTTCTCAGCAGCGGGTGGAGCGACGGGAGCGGCTTCAGCAGCGCGATCCCACACGGGCCCTGGGCGGTGCCTCCAGGCGTCAGCATCAGCATCAGCATCACGCCCCCAAACGGGCTTTCTCGTGTTCTCAGCAGCGGGTGGAGCGACGGGGGCAGGAACTGGCAAGGCTGCACTGTAAACAGTAACCGACAGGATGGCGGAGGCGATGAAGGCGGAGATCTTCATGATGTCGAACTTGGATGGATCGTGTGGTAATGGATCGTGAAGGTTGGAGAGGATCGACTGTTGATCAGATAGTTGATGCTGATCCTTGAAGGTGCAGACGATGTCGAAAGATATTGGTGCGTGCTGGGGAGAGTACTTAAGTTCGAGAGGGAGATGTAATCACACGAGAGAACCTAACGGAGGCGTTCTTTTTTTCTATTGACCCCTCAGAACATGAATAGGCCACCTTGTTGCTCAATAGACCTTCAGGTCGGCCAAGTCCGATAAGTGAAGGCAAGCCCTCAAAGGGATCACTCTGAATGGAGGTCGGTTAAGCCCCAAAGCAAGGTTATCCAGAGCAAAGAGGTCTTCCAGGCCTTCGCGGGCGCTATGGATTACGGATAACTTGGTCCGAGAAGATTCAAAGCTCGCGGGGAGACGGCGAGCATACGCTTTGCGACAAGTGCAACAAGGGATTACTACGATGTTGAAAGCGAGCGAGTTCCGGTGTTGTGATTACCTCTTTTGGGTCTGAATAGCTTCAATAGAAAAAAGAGGCTTGGCACGGCTCGCGTGCACTCGATATCAGTACAATGACGCGCCACATTATGAAAGATTGATTTTACTGGATCAAAGAACGCCTTCTGGAAGGTTCGCGAGTAAACGACTCAGGATTGAGGTATCGGCGTTGAGGAGGCGGCTCAAAGGTGGAGTAGCTTTCATGGAGGTGTGATCGAGCAATATTACGCACATTAGCGCATGTCGAGACTGAAATCATCTTTGAGATCGAGAGAAAGAGACTTCAGGTCCACCAATGATTTTGAATCGATCGCAACCTGCGATCTGTAGGACAATGGGCTCGCCCGGTTGACGTAGGAGGACCATGATGCAAGTGACTCTGCGAGGGCTTCCGAAAGAGCCGTTGTCCTGGGACAGCAGCGATTCGACCAGCCGTAAACGGTAGATACGCTGAGAGGCGGAGAATATAGCATTGTCGGCAAGACAATAACGCAAGTGTTGCTCGCATGCAGGGTGCGCTTGCGGGCGTCTGACGGCATATTTCGATGGAAAAGAAACACCTGCATGAATGCTCCTTGCAGTGCACCATGTGCCACGTGGGAAGGAGACCCCTAGTCTGAATCCTTTGAATCGCGAACGGTTCCTGTTGGGCTTGTGAGTCTATTGGCAACGCAAGACTGATGGGATTACTGTCAGGGGAATCGTCAGCCAGGCTCGATGCGCCCTCTGGATTCGAACGTTTTCACTCCATGTGCTCTTTCAAAGTCGCCGGTTTCAGCTGGTGATATGAATGTGAAGGACTCGAGCGACAGGAACGCGTCGTGGTGTGTGTTGGGTTGTCTGAGCAGCCGCCTGGTCGATAAGGAGCTGATTAAGCTAGCGTCGCACGTGGCACCGCGCCAAAAGTTGCCGCGGGAAATCGTCGCGAATCACTGTGAGACGCCCATGAAAGTATGCATGCAAGAATAGCCAGGTCCACGGCGCCTGCGTTCAGAGCGGTGCTTTCGAGCTTGTCGAGGCGGCCGTCAGCATGGATTTGCTCGTCCTTGCAGGCTGGTAGCGGACGAAGCCGCCGGCACATTACCACCCAAACGTCGGAGAAGCCCTACTACATCACCACGCCAATATTCTATGTCAATGCTGCCCCGCATGTCGGCCACCTGTATACCATGGTCCTCACGGACGTGATAAAGCGGTGGCATGAACTCAAAGGAGAAAAGGCGTTGCTATGCACCGGAACAGATGAACATGGCCTAAAGGTGGTTTACCTGGCAATGTGATAGTATTGCACTAAATCTGTAACAGGTTCAGAGAGCAGCTGCAAAAGCTGGCATTGACCCGAAACTGTTCTGCGATAAGGGTGCCGAGATCTTCAGAGTACGCATGCACGCATAACGAGCCCCCGCCATCGTTACTTACCTGTACGAGGAACTTGCAGCCAAAGCCGAGATCACGAACGATCACTTCGTACGGACGACGGATAGAGAACATAAGGAAGCTGTCGAGTATGCATGGGTACGAGAACTTGAGTTCAGACGGTGGAAAGCCATGTAGCTGATGGCGGACAGTTCCTGCTACAAGAGAAGGGCCTCATATACGAGCAGAAGCATGAGGGATGGTATTCAGTCACCGACGAATGCTTCTACCCACAGTCTGCCGTACAGCCATATCTTGACCCACCTACAGGGAGGAAGATGATGGTAAGATTTTGCTGGGGCGCCACTGTCATTCGATCTGACCAGGCTACAGACATCGATTGAGACTGGTAGTGAAGTAGAGTGGTCTTCAGAAGTCAACTATCACTTCCGGCTCTCGGCATTCCAGGATAAGTTGCTCGAGTTTTTCAAGAACAACCCCGAGTGGATAACCCCGGAGCACCGTATGAAGGAGGTTGTGCAAGCGGTCGAATCAGGATTGGAGGACCTGTCTGTGTCTCGACCGTATGAACGACTAACGTGGGGCATTCGAGTTCCCGGAGACGACTCGCAGACCATCTACGTATGGCTCGACGCGCTTATGAACTATGCGACCAAGGCCGGATACCCATGGACACCGGGCCGCGAACAGGCAGGAGGCTGGCCCGCGGACTGTCATGTCATTGGCAAGGACATTGTGCGATTTCACTGCATTTACTGGCCTGCCTTCCTCATGGCTCTTGGACTTCCACTGCCCAAGAAGATTCTGACACACGCTCACTGGACTCTTGGAGGGTCCAAAATGTCCAAATCTACTGGCAGGGTCGTCGATCCTTTCCACGCCCTTGATCGGTTCGGTCCGGATGTTATGCGCTTTTACATGGCTCGCGAGGGTGGTATACAAGACGATGCGAGCTATGACAATTTCCGCATCATTGGTTTGTACAACAAGTTCCTGAACCAGCAACTCGGCAACCTGGCTTCTCGTGTTACACGAGGCAAGAAATGGAGCGTCCGTGGCGCAGTTGAGCGTGTTGGTGGGTGGCCAGCGGAGGAGTGGGCGGAAGGACCAGGTTCCAAGTTCCGGAATAATTCTCTTGCTACCATCGCCTCGCAAGTAGATGCATCTTTTGATGCCTACGATCCGCGTAAAGCCGTGTCTCAAATCGCAGAGTTTGTCCGAGGGGTAAGTCTAGACACCCTTCTTTCTGCCATCCTACTAACTCGACCAAGTCGAACGCTTTCTTCCAGATGTCGCAACCATGGGACAAGGTCTTGACCTTCGGCCCAGGAGAGCCTGGCGAGGATGTCGACAAGATCATTTATCTTGCTGCTGAAGCACTTCGAATCACCGGTATCCTATTACAGCCATACATGCCGAACAAAGCACGCATGCTACTTGATCAGCTAGGCGTACAGCAAGATCGAAGAACCTTTGAATACTGCAAGCCTGGCGCTGATCTAGACTACGGCACTCCATTGGTAGAGCTGGGTGCAGCGCACAAGGGTGTGTTGTTTCCCCCACTGCCGAGCGAGGGATGAGAGTCAGGTGTGGTGTACTATATGTGTTTGTAGTTGCGAAGCATGGGGAATGAAATAACTCCAGAAGTGAATACAGGTACACTCTCTGAAACTATGGAGCACGTCTTTGCGTCAATGCTTTAGTCGTTCAGGTCTAATCGCTCAAGGGTGCTGTCGCAACGGATTTTCTTAAAAGTACATTTCAACCCTCAAACATTGCTTGACAGGTGAGTTTGGTCAGGAGCTGATCCCGTGTGGCTGGTGCCTAATGCCAAGACTACATCATCGGCGGTCGTCGCGCGAACTTTAGATTTCTGAGTGAACATTCCCTACGACAGCACAATCACGAACACCACAACACCTCCACACCTTTCGCCCCTGCAGCTGCATCGGAGCCTCCCAAAATCTTCACATCTTTCTTTAGCGGTTGCGAAAGCACAACACAAAGCAGCGCGCACGCGCCTCCACGCAGGATCAATTCACCATGGCCGCCCCCAAGCCGGGCGGCTTCAAGATGTCGCTCGGGGCACTGAAGACGAAGCCAGGGCTGAAATCTTCCCCCGCACAGAAAGACACCAAAAAGACAAAGCTTTTGCTCGGTGACGACGAACCAGACGATTCGAATACGCAACAAGAGATCACGGGATGGGACGCAGCAGAGGGCGGCGCGGTCGATGCCAACGGGAAAAAAGAGAAGGAGGGACCGCGCATCATTCCAGCTTTACCCAACCGCGATTGGCGAGCAGAGGCACGGCGGAAACAACTTGCGAAAGCACCCCATCAGCAAGCGCAAAATGTCACGGTCGATGAGAGCAAGATGGAGGAGCCGAAGGTGCAATATGGCCTTACGATCATCAAGAAAGACGAAGCGCAAGAAAATGGAGCTGCGGAAGCCGAAGCCGCGGAGCCGATGGAGGTGGAGCAAGACAATCTCACGGAAGAGCAGCGGCTCGAGAAGAAGGCACTCGATGCGCTGATCAGCGGCAAATCCACGGACAATGATCTCGTGATTCCTGTACAATCAGAAGAGGACGCACTCTTAAACGATCTCAACAATGCGCCCGACGCGCCCACCCTCGAAGCATACGAAGCTACCCCGATTGAAGGCTTCGGCGCGGCGCTCCTACGTGGTATGGGTTGGAAGGACGGCGATGCAATAGGCAAGAACGGTCCTGCTGCGAAACCGAAAGAAGTCAAACGGCGACCAGCGCTGCTTGGCATAGGCGCAAAAGAAGACGCTGCAATAGGCGTTGAGCTAGGGGAATGGGATGGTGGCAAAGGCAAAGGGAAGAAGGTCGCGCAGAGCTACAACCCCGTTACGCTGCGGAACAAGGTTACCGGTGAGATGATCACAGAAGAGGAGCTAAAGGCCAAACTAGAGGCTCAGAGCTTGCTCCCAGACGAGAAGCCGTCAAGAAGCAAGAGCAAATACGACGACGACAGCGAAGACGACGAGCGAAGGCGCGAGAAGCGGAAAGAAAAGCGAGATGACCGCGACCGCGACCGCCGACGCGACGACGACTATGACAGCGAACGGAGGAAAGACAAAGACCGCCGAAGAGACAA